ATTCCCCCATGGAGTGCATTCTGCTCACCATAGGTCCCCTCAGTTCCTGACAATTGTCCACCAGGTAAGAGAATTACTTGGGTAAAGTGACGGACAGAGGGGCAGATGGGTGGGATGTGTGGATTCACAGAGGACCACTAGAAGAACTATGGTCACAGGTAGGTAACCTCTTTTTCTTTTTCATGGCCTCTGTGAATGCACACAAATGGATGACTAGCAAGCTCACTTATCGGATGGTGGGCTGTCATGGTAGGAAGGATGCCAGGATAGCTCTGCCAAAACCAGTGTCACTCCATGCTCTGACATCTAGACGGTAATGCCTGACAAATGTTGATGGAGTAGACCATGTGGCCACACAGATGTGAGATAGTTCAATTCCACGCTGGAAGGCAGTAGATGTTGACATCACTCTTGTAGAATGTGCTATTAGGTGATCAGGAGGTGATTTGCCTGAGAGGTGATAAGCCAATGAGATGGTCTGGATGATCCATCTAGAGATAGATTGCGGGGAAGCTGGTGCTCCCTTGTTAGGACCATGAAAACATAGTAAGAGTCTATTTGATTTTCTGAAAGACCTGGTCTTGTCAATATAGAAGGCAAGAGAGTGTCTTATGTCGAGATAATGGAGCATACACTCGAGAGGTGTTGATGGTGATAGAAAAAGAGTTGAGGGATAATGTGTTGGCATGGTGGACGAATACTATTAAGTACTTGAGAAACTTTTTTACAGTTGAGTGAGACAAATGTTGTGCTGATTTAGAGTTAGCTGGCTGATGAGCAATGATGGCTGAAATATAGACTTTTAAAGTGGAATAAGACAGTCCAAAATTAAATAAGTGAAGCAGGAAGGTGGGTAGAGTTTTCAAGAAAACTGGTGTTACAGGTAAGTTGCTTGAATCAGCAAAGGATAGGAATGCTTTCCATTTATTTTCATATAGGAGTTGGGTCAAAGGCTTTCGAGCTTGATCGATTACATCTTTTAGGGTGGGAGTATCCTCCAGGCTGTCAGATTCATAGATGGAATGTCTGGATGGTAGACCATCCCGCCGTCCTGTGTGAGAAGGTCAGGAATCAGTGGAAGCTGGAATGAGTCCGTCGACATCGATCTGAGGTGACTGAACCACGGTTGCCTTGGTCACCAAGGAGCTAGAAGGATTGCATTCGATTGAAAGTGCCGGAGTCGAATAATTGTTCTTTATATGAGTGGTACTGGTGGGAACAGGTAGAGTAGATCCATGTCCTAATCTGTCATGAATGCATCTCCAATGGAATTCTCGTCGACTCTGTCTCAAGAGCAATAGATGTAGCACTTGGCATTTGCGCTGGAGGTAAAGACATCGATGGTCGGGATGCCCCACCAATGACAGGTACAATCAAAGATGGTGTCGTTCAAAGACTATTCATGTGTTCTCGATGTCAGGCAGCTGAGGTAGTCTGGCATGTAATTTTCTTCTGTGGTATATGTACTGCTATCGGGAAGATGTGATGCCGGTAACACCATTCCCATAGGTCAATGGTGAGGTATAGAAGGGATAGAGAATGAGTGCCTCCTTGCTTGTTCACATAATACAGGGCAGTAGTATTGTCCATGGCGAGCTGAACTGTAAGCCCTGTGATTGAGTGGAAGCTTGAGATGAATGATGTGTAACAATTTTCTCATTTTGTCCATAGGCCATGGATCTTGTAATGAAGGCAGTGTGCTTCCCAGCCCGATGGGCTGGCATCAATGGTAACTTGCACCATCTGTTGAAGGGACATAAAAGGTTGTCTGATGAGCACGTTCGGGAGAAACATACGCCAGGTGAGATGTAGGGCTAATTCCGGTGTTATTGTTAGTATCATAGATGGGTGGTCTGTCATAGGATTCAATAATGACAGGTACCACAACTGGAGAGACCTCATTTTATTTATTTGAGTTGAGCATGTTGTATGACTGAGGTTGTCGATGCCATGAGTCTGAGAAGATGTTGGGCATGATGTACTGATATGGAGGCCAGTGGTCAAAGAGGCTGAATAGCTTTTTTTAATTTGAGGATCCTTTCTTGTGGAAGAAAGGCTCTGGCTTGCAGAGAGTCGAAAAAGGTTCCGATGTAAGTAAGCCTTTGTGTAGGTTCAAGGTGAGATTTTGCGAAGTTCACTTTGAGTCCAAGATGAAAGCGAGACTAAGTGGAGGCGTTTTTACTTGATTAATATCATCGAAAATCAAAGCAGTTTTGGATGGTGCTGGTTCTTCAATCTCTAATTGAAGTGACTTGGCCATTTTTGCAATTAATTGGGAGTAGGTGGTAAAGTCTTCAGATGGGGATGGGGGATGGTTCTATTTGAGATCAAAGGTAGGTGTTGGAAGATTAGGTGGTGATTCTTGAGATGAATATGATTCTAATTTTTGGAAGATGATGATGATGAAGATGGTGACAGATCTTGGTGTCTCGGTATCGATGACCATGAGAGCAGAGGTTGAGGTTCAATGGGAGGATGTGAGGAACATCTTTCTGTTTTGACAGGAGGATGGGGACCTGTATACATGTTGGTGACCTGCAAAGGTGTTTGGTGTTTAGAAGAGTGTTTGAGTCATTTGGAGTATGATTGTTAAACAGTAGGTACCGAGCGTTTCAAGATTGGTTTAACTGGAGCTTGGGATTGATGTCGATGCGGCAGTGGAGATGGTGAGAGTGATGGTGAATACCAAGATGGGTATGGGAAAGTACAGTGGGGTCTTGACTTAAGAACGGCTTGAGTTAAGAACATTTTGACTTAAGAACCGCTCTCATAGGAGAATATTGACTTGACTTAAGTACTTAGATTTGAGTTAAGAACTGAAAAAAACCCACGTGGGAGGCAGGGAAAGTGCAAAATGTGAACTTTCAGTTAACTGTTGGTCAGTGAAAAGGGTGCCTGTCTGCTTCCTACCTCCTCCCAGCGTTTAGAGAGTGGATTGGGAGACAGTCTGCAGACTGCCCGGTACTGTACTGCCTGGACTGTATTTTTCCTGCCTTCCCTGACCCTTTCTTGACCTAAGAAAAAAAGAAACCAAATATCCCCCTCTAGTGGTCGAAGGCAGAATAGCAGCTTCCCATTAGTTTCTATGGACGGAAAAGAGCAGATACGGATTAAATGGTTTTCAATGCATTCCTATGGGAAATGCAGATTTGACTTGAGAACTTTTCGACTTGAGAACCTCCTTCCAATACGGATTAAGTTCTCAAGTCAAGACCCCACTGTATACCTAACTCTTTTAGGTTCTTCATGGTACAATTGTTCCTGAGGGTCTTCAATCAAGTATGGGTCATAATGATAGCATCTCTCCCTCCTTTTTACTTGAGATGGATAATGTGGAGATTGAGGGTAGTAATAGTACTCCTGGTATGGAGGAACATACCAAGGCGGTGAAATGTGTTTGCGCTTCTCTTGGTGCTTCCTGGGTGAGTGGTGAGATGACTCAGAGCCCGAAAGCTCTATTGCAATTACCCGCCCTGATGAAGAGCTAGAATGGGCCGAGGTCTGGCTGGACTGCACATCAGCCGGGGAAAGGTCAGCATGAGGCGACAAGCTACCGGTAGAAACTGGAGCTTGGGCCAGTGGTAAAGGAGGCTCTTCCCTCTCGGAGGTAGATCCAGGAGCATATCTGGATGATTCCTCCATGATAGGAGATGGTAAAGTTGGTTGTGGTGGGTTGATGTGAGTAGATCTGACCTTTTTTGCCTTATTAGAAGACGTCTTTCTTCTTTTTAGAGATTCCAAGGCTCGAGCCAAGGATTTCGGCATCGACATCGACCTGGATACTGGCTTCCCTTTTTCGGACTTCTCCTTGGGATGATGAGAAGGAGCCACTGAGCCAGGAGCTGGCTGTGGTGAAATTTGCCACTCTACCTGAGGATCTGGGGATCGTGTGGTCTCCACAGAAGCCAAGGAAGGGTTAAGAAACTTCTCCCAAAGGTATGATCTCAATCTCTGGAGTTGAAGAATGGGTGGGATGTTGTTCACCCAAGCAAAATAAACAGCGATCGTGGCCATCTGTTAAAGGTATTTTATTAGTACAAATGATGCATCGCTTAAACGGGTTGGGCGAGGCCATAAAGAGCGAGAAAAAGGAGGCAAGAACTGGCTTGAGAAAAGGGGGGAAGCAAAAAATGCAGCTAGATAAAACTGAACAACCTTGCAGTGGAACGTCAATTGATTTATTTGATTGATTGATTAGAAATGAAGAGGTAAAATTTGAAATACAATAAATCTGTGTAACAGGCAGCCCTGACCCCACCTGTCCATCACGACTCAGCAGTGGATCATCAGCCAATGGGGTGATGGAGGGTGGAGCTGGAGGGGGAGGAGTTGGAAGAAAAGTGGTGTGAAGAGAGTGAGAAAGATCAGATCTGGAGTGTGTGAGAGAGAAAGGGCTTGTTTAGAGGCCTGTGTGCCTAAGTGGTCAGTGAGGGAAGTCTGTGATTGATTAAATAAGATACAGTGATTGACATCTTGATTAGCTAAGTGTGATTTACATATTTTATTTTGTTATTTCAATAAACCTGTTTTGTTTTGAAGGAAACCTTTGTCCTTCTTAAATAGTCATTACAATTGGTGGCAGCGAGTGTGAAGTAGTGTGGTGGGCATTCTGAGAGGCCTGAGTTGACAGTGACATCAGAGTGGCCTGCTATGTCACAATCTGGAATCTCAACCCACAAATCGTTCTTTTCTTCTGAAACAGGTTTAAATGACACAGCGGAAAAAAGGAACTGAGGGGACCTAGGATGGGCAGAGCATGAACTCCACGGGGGAACGTCCCACTAATCATGTGTCTTTAAGTTCTAAAAATTTCCGAGATGTTCAGAATAGGTGCAGAACAAACCATTTGCGTAAATTCACAGAGGCCACGAAGAAGAACTTGCTTTTAACAGGGTAGAAAAGACATTAGAAACACACTACAAGTCTTTATAACAATGAAACTGTTATGGCATAATACAAGGGAGGCACTTTCACAGTAGTTCTGATACTCATTTACTTACCTCAAGCATATTATAAATGATGTATAGTTTAATAACAGATTGTCCTCTTATGAGATGGTACATCATGGAATAGTCAACATAGTGCATCATGAAGTAGCATATTACCAGTATAACTCCTTTGAAAAGATCACAGACCTGAGCAGGCTGCAGCAAACGTCTACCACTGAAATACACAAAACACAATGGGTGCGGGAGGATATATTTTACACAGCTGTAGACAGAATCCATATATAACTAATAAAAAATCAGGCTTCAAGGAAAAACCCAGCCATTTATTACACTATTGTTTTCACATCAAATGATGTTTCCTTGGACACATGTATAATGAATGGTATCTCACTGCACCTTGCAGTAGTCATTGTATCTGGCTCCAAAGGAGATGAGGGATGCAGGGTGATCTGCCAGCTATACTAAGAGACCAGCTGGTAGCTTCTTTCTCACAATTTTTTCCTATTCTAATTGGTTATCATACAAACTGCTTTATAAGGACTACCTACATTTTTTTCTTGTTCCATCCCTGTTTATGGGTTCTGCCATTTAATTGCAAAATCTGAAGACAGACTTCTTTTTACTGACATACACATAATGTTATGGGAGTCTTTTTGACTGAAGAAGTCAGATTTTTATTAAACTAGAACATATAGTAATTTTATATAGTTGGAAAACCAAAGTTAGCAAATTTTACAATTTTAAAAGGGTATAAAAGCAGCTGAAATCAGACAGCCTATTTAAGTAGCTGACATGATGCTTAGCAAGCGTCATTAGAAGGGAGAAAACTCTGCTGGGAAGGTAACATTTTTTTCTATTAATGTGATTGTATAACAAGTTTATGCTTTAGATTATTTTTATATAT